AGTGGGAAATGGAAGAACAGCTTCTATAGTAGGGTTTAAAGCTTTGTTCGGGGTTCTGCTGGGATGTGTAGGGTTGACAGGGTGCAGTGGCTGACCGACATGGATAAATATAGGGCTTTGGGCGAATCAAATGATACTAGGGGCAACTGCGAAGCTTCATTTCATACAGGGCTTTTTCAGGGGAGGATGCGGGTTTAGGGGTATGGCCCGCCAACGAGATTGTATAGGGTTAGTTGTGAGAAGAACCCATATCCAGAGTGCTTGTCGTGCAACTCAAGGGAATCATATCAGTTGGTTAAGAAATATCTGGCACTGTGAGAATAGTGGGCTTTCGGTCTAAGAAAGGTGCCGATGATGAATCAGCAAAAAAAAACCAAAACCGTTGTGATGCTAGCGCTCTACACCCTAACAACCCTAAAGCCTACTGCCTGGACCCAAGTGATAAGATTGAGAAACCGCTCTGTGACAGAAAATTCCGCCGCCCAACACTTGCAGCGAGGCTTAAGGCTTCAATCCTAAAAACTTCAAACCCGCCCTTGAACCCCTTAACGCCCTACTAAACCCCAAGCTCTCTCAACCTGCTGCTGTTTTTTCGGGAAGTAGCAACATGAGAGAAGTACACTTGCCATATTGAAACAAAAAGAAAAATTCACAACAATGACCCAGAAGCTCTCGCCAAATCTTCTCAAAGTCGTCTAAACCCTGTACGATCCCAGCATATCCCAGCTGACATCTCATGTTCCATATCCTTTTCAAGTTGATTCTCTACTAGCGGGCAAATATGCCTAAACCCTATAATCCTAGAGAACCACACATACTCCGAATTTCAGTTTCCGTCTTGTTTTCCAAATTCTTTTCCATTAGTTAATCCTACCCTAAACTCAAGCTTTTTTCCATGTTCAAGGCCCGAGTCGCAGCTTCTGGAGGCTCTGCACCGTCTGTCCCAAATCCGTGCCACGGTCCTGCAGCTCGCGAAGGTCTAAGGTTGATAGGGTTCAGGCTTTAGGGTTTGGGATTTGGGGTTATAGGTTTTAGGGCTTCCAGTTTAGGGCTTAGGGCGTACAATGCAGGGGGTTTTGGAGGCTTAGATGGGCTCAGGGGAGCTTGTAGGGCTTGTAGCCTCAGGAAGGCCAAGGTTGAGCTTTGGGTTTGCTTGAGAGGCTATAAGCCCTATAGATCCTACACGCTCAAATCTAACCCCAAGGCATTTCCTTACGTTTAATGCCATAGGTTGTGAGGGAGGCACAAGATCCCTGACCAGTTTGAACGATCCTCAGGCTAGCCTCTACTGACTGCATATGTGTAGATATGCGTTCATCTCATATCCGGATGTTTCTCAAAAAAGGGGCCTGGGGGAATCTAGGGATAAAAGCGGACCATACTGAAATTAGCAGATATACTCAAGTGTAATTATGTAAAAAAGTCCGCGCGCAGATGTTGTATACGTATGCAATTATGTTCATATACACAGGCACAAAACTGCATCTTGATTTAGACCTTCAACACTATACTAGGGGTTATGAAGGGGGGATACAAGGACTTTATAGCTCAAGTGGGTTTTGCTTAGACCTTGAACACCCTAAACCCTAAACACTTAATCCTAAACCCCTGAACCCCTAAACCCCTACAACCCTAAACCCCCAAACCCCTAAACCCCTAAACCCCTAAACCCTAATCCCTAAACCCCTTAACCCCTAAAACCCTACACCCCTAAACCCTAACTGCCCTCACACCTTTGACCCTGAACCGGCTGCAGGGTCTCCTCGCTGTCGCTGGGCGCCGAGCTGCTTCGGCCGGCATCCACCAACTCTGAAATTCGGCGGAGCACAAGCCTCCAAAGAAAAGCGATTTAGAGATTGTAGGGGGATCATATAGGGTTTAGGGGTTTAAGGTTGAGGGGTTTAGGGTTTAGGGTTTGAAGCTAGGGGTACCTTCAAAGGGGATATGGGGGTTATGTAAGGATATTCTAGAGGTATATAGGGGTATATGGGGTGTAGAGTTTCCTAAAATTAGGGGATGCTATTCCATTGATCTTTCACAGAGTTCAAGCCACAACCCTTGTTAGGGACCAGCGGTGTAAGAGCCATTGCACTGGAGATCATAGGTAGCGGTGACCGAAAAATGAGGATAGGAAAGATTTCAAGCATGTTGGCCATACATGGTCTTAGGGCTGCAGGGTTTTCGTTCTGCTGTTGGGTACAAAGGGCTGTGGGATAGATTTAGATTTTCCGGTGTGGATGCATAGGATTACTGTCGACGTTGCAGTGAGATAACATGACCGGTGTCTTTTTCCAAGCAAAATGGCCTGAATCCGGGAAAGGCTTCAGGGAAAACTCTGGCCCATATGGACATGAGTCCAAAAACTTGACTCGTACGCTTCGTCAACGGGCCTTGCGTTATCACAGTGATCCTGCGTAGTGCTTGGAGACTCCTATGAAAGAAGTGTATTGCCCTGGGATATTTGCCATTGTCTAGATCTCCTAGTACCCCCCTCTAATGCTTTCCTATAATCCCCTATATAATGCCTCCTTAACGAGTTTAAACTGTCATATGAAGACTCGACACCTTCAAACGCAGTATGCTGCACCAGAACTGTATTGCTAGGCTAGAACCCAAAAGCCTGGAAATCTTCAAAGCCACCCCAGATCCCGACAAACCTTTCAGCCCTCAACCAGTGGATCCACTTGTAAATGGTGCTACAACCCTACGCATAGTTCTACGCATAGTTGGAACAACATAAGAATTCTACATAAGGGGGGGTCACTTAAGGTTCCAAGCCCAGTTATAAAGTCCGAGGGGCAATGACTGCTTGTCTTCCCTACTGAGGAGCTGCTGGTCGTCCACTCCGCCCAGCAGCCTACTGCTTCGGGTCTTGTGTCTTGTCCACACATATCATACTTACTGGTGGTTAGTGGGGAATAAAGGAATATATATCCCGATATACTATATTCCCTTATCCACTACAAGCCCCCAGTACGTATAACTGAAAAGGGAGCTTCGAAAAAAACTGACACAAAAAGTAACCTCGTGGATATGCAGGGGTGCATGGCAAGGGTGCATGCGAAAGATTTTGCTAACCCTGGTGCGCGAAATATCCGAAATCGGCTTTACAGGATCCATGCTAACAGCTAGCAGGACTCGCTTCTTTGACAATGAAAATAACAACATCAATGCCAACAGCTCTTACTCTTATGACAACACTACTGCCAATAGTAATGGCAACTTGTGGTTCAGGCTGGGGGCTTCAGGAAGGGAAGGTTGCTGTCGGCACCTTACAACTTGTTTTTCGCCAGGCCCAACCAACGGTATGCGGCAGTGGAAGTGGTGAGGCCAATTACGGACTTGAGTAACTATGGTAATCTTCTAAACTAGAGTAACTCACCTGCCTAGTATCAGACACTCCCCCACCACTCCGATATGATAAAAAAACTCTGCAACCGCTGTCAACGAAAATAAATAGCTATCTTGATTTCGACCGTATGTTTACGCACAGAGCAGCCTCCAAGCAAATCCCCCAACAGGATGCTGGGTGAGGGAATCAAAGTACATTACCACACCCCGTCAATTAAGTTCAGTTCCCCCACACCCTGTATAACCACAGATTCAATGTCACGTCCATGTTTCCACTTGATTGCAACCCATTGAACCTACATGAACCATAGTCTAAACTTCTAGCATCCCCGTTAATAACCCCCTTTGAAGTCGAGCATCCCCCTGAAAACCCCTCTGTAGTAATCCCCTATATCACCCCCCTTTAAGGAATCTTTACCCTATATAATCTCCTATGTAACCCCCTTTTAAAGAGTTTAGACTATAGCTCACATGGAAGGCCTAAAAGCCGCCAAATCACAAGTTCAGAGGCAGCGAGAGCGGAAGCGCCAGTGGTCCCAAAGTTCGGAGGAGCCGCACCTCGACTCGTGGGGTTTTGGGTTTAAGGTTTTTCCATATTTTTTTTAAGCGCCCCTTAGGGTTTAGCGTTTAAGGTTCAAGGCTTAAGGTTTAGAGGGTAGCTAACATCCCTAAGCCCTGAACCTTAAATTACTTACAGCTTAGTAATCTAGTTTCTAACGATAGCAAGTATACCTATGGATATGTAGGTAACTGGGTCAAAAGCCGCTGGGGTTGGACGCCTGGATATGTAGAATCGTGTCCATTGCGACACCGTCTAGAGCAAACGAAGGGGAAACAAATGAATGAGGCTGCTCATTACATTGAAAGCATGTTTTGATCCTTAGGGTTGCGTAGCGGTCCCTGCGAGGCGCCCCAACACGAAGTAAAGACCATGAAAAAAAGATCCGCATGTCGCAGAAACTCTGCATTTATAGGCTGAAGATGCAGTGAGAATATTGCTCTAAAAATATTTTCAGTGGGGGAAGCCAATTTCGGGACCAGCACCAGCGATGCCCGAGAGAGAGCATCGATGGCCGCGACCCCCTCCTCGATCAGCAAGTCCTGCGATGGCATGGAGCACAAGGCAGAATGATTTTATCAAGCAAATACCGTGAGCACAGGGATTTCTGTAAGCCCTCACCTGTTCCGGCCCTGTACCTGAGGCCAATAAGGCCGAAATGAGGCGATGCAGCGCAAAAAACTTCGCAACTGTGGGTTTAGGGTGCAGAGCTGCGGGCGTAGGGGTAAGGTTGAAGAAGCTACAACCCGGCAGCAAAAGAGTCTGCAAGAGTGCTACCTTATTCTATAGTCCCTTTGAAGTAAATAGAATATGGCTTTGGGTATAATCAAATAAGATCCCCATATACCCCATATTCTACCTACTTAAGGGGGACCCCGACGTATCTTCATCCAACCTGCTGCCTCTGCCCTGGCCCCTAAACTCTTTTACACCTGCCCCGCCCTTTGAACCAGTCTATAACCAAGTAAAAATCCCAATCCCCCCTTAGTTACTTTTGTACTAGTGTTTTGTAATATGCCTGCCTACCCCCTTTGGCTAAGACCCTTTACCATTTCCATGTTCTGTTCGATTCGATTCTCCAGGATCCCCCTCAATGCCTACCTAGGTCCTGCAGAAAGTTGCCATCCGGTGAAAAGACCACCTCCGCAATCTCCCTCGTGGCAGAATCCACCTGGAGTGGGTGGTGGCAGGGCTTAGGGTTTATACGGTTTAGGCTTCTTGGGGTTCGGGTTTGGGGTCTATAGGGTCGCTGGTTTTGGGTTGTAGAGAGGTGAAATTCGAAAAAGTGAGCCTTCGACAGAAGCCTGCCCTTTCGAGGAGCACCTAACTGGTGGCTTCCATAAAGAGGCTAACCCAAATATATTGGGGCCACCAGAACCTCCAAGAAGGACCCCTCACTTTTGAAAAGACCCATCTAAAGGCTTGAAGCGGCTCGGGGGGTTGGTCGCCCTCGTGAATGCTGAAGCCAAAAGTTCGATGGGGGCTCATGGGGGGCCCACTTCCCAGCAAGTACACTGGAAGTATTGGTTTGTCCGTAGGCATGCTCCAGTAGTATCGGGTCATGTGGCAAAGGGGCCTACCGCGATGAAGAACTTACGAGCATGGCATCGCGAGATGAAGCTTGCTTGGCCCTCGCCCTAAAATGACTACTCACAACCCCAAGAGACCACCAACCATCAACTCCAAATGGGTGTCTCTTACTTCACGCATCCTACGGCCCTTGAGAATCATGAAAACTACTGCAGGCAGTGAATAGAAACAACAAGAAGCAACCGACACCATAGATCATTACATCATAAAGTAGCAGGATAAAACATCTCACAAGACTAGCAATGGCAAGCTACATTATTACTATCATCACTACTGTTATTACTGTTTTTAGCCTAAACCCTAAATCCCTAAACCTTATTACTATTGTTACTGCAGAAGACAGACAACCAGCCTCGCGAGGCTGACCTGACGGCCGATCCTGGCTGTGCGTGGCGCCGTTGGTTTCGCCATTCTCGGGCTTCAGCTGGATGCCGCCCGCTGCCGCGGACTCCGTCCGGCTTCCCTTCCTTTTGAGACATTGAGGGTTACTTGCTGGTTGTTAGCAGGGAATAAGGGAATACAATCCTTAGGTACCTCCCAAATAGTCCCATATTCCCTGCTATGACCCCAATATATACACTATTATAATGTAGTAGTTTCCATTTTCTTTTCCAGAGTTTAGGGTTTAGCGTGTAGGGCTTAGGGTTAGTGGGTTCAGGTTTAGGGGTGAGGGTTGTGGGCGACAAAAAAAATATCCGGCAGAATGAAGTATTGACCGTTGGACTGTTGTTACTTGGTGGTTGACTCATGCCCCTCTAACAAAGCCACAGCAAGAATCTGAATTGTGGACCACACTATCCATATTCAAAGTACCTAAACCCCAAAAGTATGTAAAATAATAGCCCTCAACCATAATGACAGCTATAAGGGCCATTATTTTACCTACTTTTGGGGTCCAGGTACAAGTCGGAGTCTGAAGTCATTCCATGGGCTTAGGTCGAGAGGGCTGCTTTTGCCCTATTGCAGCTGTGGAGTTCCGGGTGTATGGGCAGGTCTTTAGCCCTTCTTCCCATCTAGGCTGCTTAAATTACGGCCATTTTTGGCCGTGCCCCTATTACGCATCTAAGGTCCCCACAAAAAGACCACAATTTTGATCACCCTCGCATTTGGTTGGGGTCTGGGAACTCGGCCGTTTAATCTTTTGAGGAATAGTAGGCTGAAGTTTTTTTAGGGCGGGAGGATTTGATGTTTCAAGCTGTCAACCAGGATTGGAATAGCTTGTTCGGTGCTATGATTGTAGCTGCGCCACGGTGCCTGTGAAGGCCGCCCCAAATAGCACTAGGTCACGCACACTGTGCTAGATTACCCGGCGTAAGAAGTGGTCCGAAAAGCTTTGCAATTCGGATTTTCTTCCCTGACCGGAGCTTGTTTGTGAGCTCCACTTCCTTCCACGGGTGTTAGCTAACCAACTGCTTGCATTCAGCCTCCTTCAGCTGCCTTACATCTCAGCACTGCGCAGCCCAAAACCTCTGAACCCTTCCTTGGGCCAGATCCCTGGGCCCCAGCCTCTCCCAGTCCATACTGTGTGGCATAAACCTCAAACTTCAAGGGGCGCTAGTAGCTACTACCATACGTGACACTACCACGAGGACCTACCTTACTTTGCTCCAGGACTCATCAAGTTCGTGAAGTTGCCGAAGCCTGACGCCAGCTCATCGATGCGGGAGACGGCGATGCGAGATCGGCCCTTGTAAAGGTAAGACCTGCACCACGTATGAGGTCTAGGGTTTCGCGGTTTAGACACGCGCATCGCACAGCAGTGCAGGCACGGAAGAGTATGTCCGGTCCAGCTTCCCCAGTGCAGTTGACTAGGGCGTCTAAGGGAAAACTAATCAGCAGCCTGCTGGGGGTCTCGCGGTTTAGGGTGTAGGGGTTAAGGGGATCAGGGTTAAGGAGTTGTAGGGGTGTAGGGTTTAGGGATTCGGGGTGTAAGCTTGAGGGGTTTAGGGATGAGGAGTTTAGGGGTTTAGGGTTTATGGGTATGGGGGTCTAGGGCTTACACGTTTAGGGGTCGAGGGCTTACGGGTTTAGGGTTTCGGTGTTTGGGGTTTAGGGGTTTCGGGTTCCTTTGGGCACAACAACTTCAATACAAAATACTGTTCTTTGACAGGTAGGGAGGGATGTTGGTATACTTGGGGTCACGGCTTGTAGTGCGTCTTTCCACTGCCCGCGCAAATCATGTGGAGCTGATTTGGAGGTCAGGTTGTGCGTATTTGTTGAAAGCTAAACTTAGTAGTAGGGAGCGGAACAGAAATTTATAGTCCCCCTTAAGTAGATAGAATATGGATTTTGGTATATCATATACCCCATATTCTGTGTACTCAAGGGCTCTATAGGCTTTATAGGGTTGAGAAGAGGGAATGGAAAATCAATGGAAAACAGATGGAAGAGCAAATGGAAAGTTAAATGGAAAATGACATGGAAATTTGGATTTTATACGGGCGTATGTATAGGGCTCACGGTCAGGGTATACCGCTCCGAGGAAAGCCTTTTCTAGATGTTGAATGAAAAGTAAGACCTGCGCCTTTCGAAAAGGCACCATGTAATCATGGTATGGACCCCAGAAAAAATGAGATTACACACCACCGCAGACCCAAAACCTAAACTCTAAACCCTTGGAACCCGGAATCTCTAAACCCTACGCCCGAAACTCTAAACCCTATACCGGAAACCGCAGCTGCCTCAACGCTTCACGCATTCGGAAGCTGTCATCCGTGATCAAACGCCTGGCGATGTAGGGGAAACACTCCTTGACCTCAGATGTCAGGGATGTCCAAAAGGATAGGGGTACCCGTTTGAGGGTTTCTTGAAACAAGGGGTACTTACCTTTTCTGGGGGTCTACATAACAGGAGTACATAGTATATATAACACTATTCCAGGAGCACGAGTGTCGATGTTAGGGGAAACCATTCTTCAGGGTTCTGCGTGTTCACACCGGACGAGCGAAAGAACCCATCTGTGCGATGCGCATGCCGAATCTTAACATTGAACACCCAGGCTTTCCTCTCGCAAGGCGTTGAGAAACAAAATTAATGAAGTCTATACAGAGTGAGGGCAGCATCCAACCCATAGCTTCGGGCGAAGGTAACGCCTTTCCAGTCCCAGGCGCGATTGCGAAGTTCTCCTTAGGTGTCCAGGGCCTATCAATTGTCGGTCTTTTGGTTTCTACTCGGTTCTGTAGTACAAACATGTTGGAGGAAAGCAAAAATGGACAAAACGGTCTAAGCAAAAAAAGATAGGTGAATTAAAGCACAAAAAACAGACCCTAAACCCTAAACCCTAAACCACTAACCAAAAAGGCCCAAAGTTGTTTGTTGGACAGGCAAGGCTCGTCTGTCTTCAGACCCAAGCCCTCGAGAGTACCGAAAGCCCGTAGGATGAGAGTGAAGTAAGGCGGCAGCCTGTTCGGAGACTTGAAAGGTCTTAGGGCTTCGGGCTTAAGGTTTATAGTCCCCCCTTGAGTAGATAGAATATGGGGTATATGGGGATCTTATTCTAATATCAGAGACTTGTTTGGGATTCTATAGGGTTTGTATAGGGGCAATATATAGGGATCATGGAAAAGAGAATGGAAACTACTATGGTATATTGGGGGAGGTCTTAGGGCTTAGGGCTTAAGGTTTAGGGTTCTGTGCAACGTCTCTTTTACACCCTGCATAGGAGGTAAGGCCCACAGGGCAGACGAATTTCGAAATCTAGGGTTTAGGGCTTAGGGTTTAGGTTTTGGGGCTTGGGGTGTACGAGGCTCAGGCTGAAAGACTGTAGGGCTTGGGTTGTATGTAGTTAAGACTCATGTCTGCTGCCCCCCAAAACAAACCAATCCTAACCAAACGCCTGAAACCTGACCCTAAAACACACGCGAAAGTCAAGCTGATTGGAGAAACCTGAAGGCTCCGGCGTACTTCTTGCTGATGGCCTGCAACCTGGGCGGGGGATGCGCTGACTTCTGGGCAACCTTCCTAAGGTTCAGGATTTAGGGTTTAGGCGGGTTTAGGGATGTTTAGGGTTCCCCTTCTAGTAAAACCCCCCACCGAGGCAAAAACCCTAACCCTCAACCCCAAACCCTACCCTGCATCCTGATCACTTCTCCCGGAGGCCGTCGAGTTTGCCGGCGGCTTTCATCTCTTCCCGCTGCTTTGCAAACATCTCCTGTAAGTAGAAATCAACTAGAGGTGAGTAGTGTATAAATGGTGCAAATAACTTAGTATACAAGGACCCTTCATGGTAACTCCCCTCGCGAAATTGCCTTAGAGCAATAGCGAGAACCGTTCAGGGTGGAACAAGCTACTCCAAGCTTTTCCAGGGTTTACAAGATTAAGGGTTCCTTGAAAAAGGTTATCAGGATACAAATTTAGTGTTGAGGGTGCAGAAAACCGGAAAATCAGATAGGGCTATGCTGTGTATGGACATATAGATTTATCCAGTTTTATACATTAATATCAGCCGTAGATCTGAGGCGTAGCGATAAGGATTGAGTGATGTTATGCACAAGCTTGCGCGAAGTTGCAATATCATGTTGGAGGCTATTTCAGGTACCCCATACCAGTATGCAGGGAATCCTTGGCTGTGATCTTGATACCTGCTAGGCCTTGCATAAGAGTTTAGGGTTTAGGGTCCACATGGGGCTGCAGGGTTTGGGGATGTAGGGTCCAGGGGGTGCAGGGTTTAGGGTTTGGGATATAGGGTTTGGGATTATAACGTCCAGCGTTTCGGGTCTAGCGGTGTAAGGGTTCAGAGTTTAGGATTCAGCGTGTAAGGTATAGGGTTTTGAGGCAAAGGGTCTGATGCTTAAGGTGCAGGTGCCAAGTGATGAGGAATGGTTTTGAATCATCAGACTTAGGGCCTAATGCGCCTGAAGCCACCCGGGGGGGTTGCAAGGTTCGAGGTCCCTTTCTAGGGGGTTCCTCAATTGCTTAAGGTGGATTATTAGGGGGACCCCTAATTTCGGAGATAGGATTCACAAGGGTCATTGTAGGTCAACTGGGTCCTTAAGATAAGAACCCGCAGAAGAACTCAGACTTCGGATAAACCCAATCTGGGTTGCCTCAAAGATGACACAGCACGCATGAAAAGGGTGCATGAAAAGGGCACCAGATGGATAAGCCCTGGGCTCTATCCTGATCCGTCGAAGCTTTCCTGGCCCCTGAAAGGGAATCTGACTAGATCTTCCAAGTGTACATGCGAAGCACAAAAACTTCTCGAGGATAATCGCAGGGACACTATTGGTTTCTACATCAGCTTCGCGAACCTTCCCTTAACTAGAAGCCACAAAATCCAAGAAAACAGGCACACCCTTGGAATCACAGCAAACTTATTCCAGCGGTCTAAAGACATTCCTTGAAGGCATTGGGGGAGATCCCTAAGTCATACCCTGACGGAGCCGGTCCCGCTTCTTCTTGAGGTCTCCGCCCTCCTGAGTGGGTATTTGACGGTTCATGGGACTTAGTAATCACTTACAGCTGCACATACAATTTACTAGGCCTACATGCTATAATCGGGGTAACCTCAACAAGTCCAATAAGAGGAACTAAAGCTAGGGTGACAGGCGCAGTTATAAGCAGTTAATGCACCTCCAAGTAAGACCTCAGCGGGTCGCAGGATTCAAGGGTTAACTGCTGCAGTTGAAGACTTGTACTTTGACCTCCAAACTCTTATCTTTCATCTCAGCAGGATGTGAGGTCAAGCACGGCTTCTGGTGTAATCCCCTCTCCCTAATGTTAAAACCCACCCCCCCACCCCCCTAATGTTTCCCAATGTGGTTATTATAGTATATTGGGAGTATTTCATATTAGGAGGGGTGGGGGGGGTAAATATTAGAGAGACAGGATTATGATTAGGAGCATAGGGCTCAAAGGTCTCGATGCGATGCACGTACATTCAGATTCATGCGGGCCAATGGCTTCAGTCACTTCACAGCTTGGACTTGTAATCCCCCCTAAGTAGATAGAATATGGGATAATCTTAGGGTTGTATTGGGGTTCTATAGGGTTAATGAAAAAGAACATGGAAACTACTACAATGGGTTATACAGGGTATAGAATATGGGGTAAATGGGGATCTTATTATAGCATACCCAAAGCCATATTCCATCTACTTAAGGGGGACTGTATACGTGGTACAAGTGGGGTCGCTTTAACAGATACGCAGGCAGGAACTCGGTATGTGGGTTGTTCTCAAAATTATGGGCCCCTTTTGGTTATAGATTAAGTTACGGCATCTGGTATTTAGGGGTAGCAAGATCGGACCCTAATTTTGGGAACTAGCCATATAGCAATGCCCTATACCCGACCTAGTGGCTTGAAGCTGGTAAACTGCGACAATCCACTCCCCCTGAGAATGACCCTGTCCACGTCATCTAGTACCAAAGATTCCCACTAACATAGTGTGGTACTACATTGTGGGAGTTTATTCTTAGGGGCGTGTGGCGGAGTGGGATTACAAGCCGTTTCGGACTCCAGGAGAAGGGTCGAGGAATCCTTGCCTGAGAAGTTCTGAAGTCGTTTTGCATGGGGTAACCCTAGCCCTAAAACCTAAACCCTAAGCCCCAAACCCTAAGCCCCTAAACACCTGGACCTAAACTCTAGTGAGCTTTTAGAGACCCATAAGCCCTACACCTAGACCTGCAGCGCCTGAGTCCATGTCCAGTCCTCGTAGAGCGTGGACAGGGTGTTGGCCAGCGTTGGCACAATGATGTCCAAGGCCTGTTGTCACTTTAGGAATCCTGAAAACAAACAAGTTAGGGTTTAGGGTTTAGGGTTTAGGGGAGCCAAACACGGCACCCAATTCTTGGTGAACAGTACAAGAGTCCATCTATAGCTGTTCATTGCAACTCCATTACATATACATTTAATGTGTGTACCTCATTGCGTGCTCCCATGTTCATATAGCTTAGCTTTACGGCCCCTGGGAAAAATTGGTGCTTCCCGTACGAACCCTCGAAGTGATATCGCCCTTGCAATGACGACTTTGAATCAACCCAAAAATCTTCTCAAACTCGGTATATATTGGGGTAGTTATTGGGGTTTTATTGGGCATATTTAAAAAAAAATCACCCAAAACCTGACATCCACTTGTCCTCAATACAGGGCCCTGCCAAAAATGGCCCATGGCCTCCTGGTCCTCTGCTAGGGCCTTGGTCAAGTGAGCTTCTTCGGCCACATGAACGATCCAATAAGTGCAGTTTCCAGCTTGGGCTTCAGAGGGCTAGTATAAGGTTTGGAGTCTGGGGCATTCAAGGTGCAAAACAAGGTTCTTTGGGGTGCCATTCCATCACATCACCATCTGTCCATCGGATCCTCAGCTCAGGATTGTCTTCTTCGGCACCACTTGAAGAGGCACAGCTTGGCATGCCATACTTGTAGAAAACCCCAAGGGTCCAGGTATCCAAGTTTAGTGTTTCAGGTCCCAAAACGATTCAGATTATAGTGTATGGGACCTAAATCATTTGTTAGCGTCCTTGGACCGTCTCGGAAAGAAAATCTTTTGCCCCAAACCGTCTTTGGAACCAGGAGTTGAGCATCTTGCACTACGAGCAGCCATTATGGATAATGATAATCGTCATAGCCATCACATATTCTTATTGTACCACCATTGCTAGGTCCTTAGGTGGGGACCCGAAACCCCTAAGCCCTAAACCCAAAACCCTGTGTACCCGCAAAAAGCACCCTGACTGGGCTGCAAGCCGGCGGGAAGAACTCCAAGTTGATCCTCGATTTCCGGCAAGAGCGTATTTGGAGAAGTGAACGTGGTGTAGGGGATAAGGACGTCACCATAGGTGTTGGAGTATATCATGTTGTGTTTGTAGAGGGGGGGCCAGGAGGCCAAGAGGATATTGAGGATGCAGGGCTACCATGGAGGGTTCGTAGTTTCAGGAATTCTGCGAGGGCTAGGAAGACCAGGTGATGGCGGGCCCAATGTCTCAAACAAGTTCGCAGAAGATCTTTTTCGGGGGGACTTAGGCTGGAAGAAACTCGCACACCAAAACAAAACGCTACCGGCCCTCAGAACCCTGCAATCGCGCCCGCTCACAGCTTCACCTTGCCTGTGGCCTGCTTGAAATTCATACGTATATGCTTACAGTAGACTCTGTACACGAAGAAGCACAAGACGAGCAGAAGGAGAAGGAGGAACATGCAGCGGAACCCCATAAATTATAAACTATGGCACAGAGCCAACGAATCCTTGAAATAAGAAAACACCTGTCCAAACCAAAACAATTCAATGAAACACCCATTTCAGGACTTCCCCCTCACCCCATCCCTAAACCGCCATCCCTCAACTCTGAACTCTAAATTATGCGCACAGTCTTGCGGACACACCCATTTCATTTGGGATTATCAAAAAGCGTGGAGGCTATGGGGGCTTACAAGGGCTTCTTTGGCCTCATTAGTTTGGTGTTTGGAGGTGCATGGGGGTGCATGTTGGGGGGGGGGGGGGCATGGCATCCCGACGACACTGCTCACAACAGCCCAGGGGCAAGTCATTGAGGCAGCTCTTGTACTCCTTGGCCTGCCTTGATTGGGGGAAGGGGTAGGGGACACATAGACTGGGCGGTTGAGGCATGGATTTTGCGGAGAAGTCTAGAGTTCTAGTCCCCCTTAAGTAGATAGAATATGGGGTATATGGGGATCTTATTATATAATACCCAAAGCCATACTCTATTTACTTAAGGTGGGCTATAGCGTTTGATTGCTTGCTGGGTCAGATTTTGGGGATGGGAAGTTGACACTTCCCTCACCCCGAACCATACATACCAAGGGCGTGGCAAGTGCATCAGGAACTCGATGAAGGCCAGGCGCTTCTCGCCGCTGATTTCTGTCATGAGGCCTTGCGCAGGGGCTTCAAATCCAATGCCGACAACCCGCAACAGTGGCGGACGGCAGCTGGTGGCAGCAATAACCATCAGAATAAGAAGACTAGTGACTAGCAATGGCAATAGAATTGCAGCAGCTCGCACACATAGCACCAGCACCAGCAGAAGCCACAGGTCCTGCCCCTGCCGCTCGTACTAATAATCTCCCTGGTGCTTAGGAGGGAATGGGGGAATGGATTATAGGGATTACTATTAGGGATTATATATATATAGGGACTACTATAGCGATCCATTCCCCCATACCCCCCTAAGCACCAGAGAGTAATTTCAAACCAAGAAGCGAGCCACCCGAACTTCTCAAGCCCAGCAACTCCGGGCTTCGAAGACTTGTGTGTTTTATCTCGCTGTAAGGCTAGAATGTCAGGCAGGCCAATGTGCGTTTTTATATGCATACTAATCTAATCCCTGAGTAGCCTTACATAACCCTTAATCATTAATCAAGCCCCAGAACATCTTGCAGCTGTGTGACCATAGTCCAGAATTCCCAGACGACCATCTCCTTCCATGGTGAGGCATAGCGCAATTTCCAACAAAAAAGACCAGAGCTTCGGGCTCAGGGACTTTAAGCCCGAAGCCCTGAAAAGGGGGAAACCAGCAAACTCCAAACTACACTACACACGAACTACTGTCATCCACTTTAAAGGTACTCCAAAAAGGAACCCCCAGTTTACGGAAACTCCCATGTGCGCGGCTTTCCAACAATCAGGGTGTCCCTTTTCTTTTTGGGGAATTCTTAATGAGGATTGCAGTGTGCTTGTGGCCCACCATTCATGGAAATCCACGTATAAGGTTTGCGTTCCGGGGTTGCTCCGGTAAAAAATATGAGAAGCGGGCTCCCACCTTACCAGACCCTCGAAAGGAGGTCCCACCGGCCCACGGATATGTGGACGCAGCTTATCTAGATGCTTGGTGCAGACGACGTAGGTCTGTATAGGGTTGTTGGCGCATTCTCTTACCCTCCAGTTCTTCGTCGTGGAGTTCGGATCCTCAAAAACTTGTGGTTCCACAAATAGGAGGACCCCAAAAAGACACCAAAATACTTTGATTCTGCTTGCGAGGGCCCGGGAGACAGACCCCTAGTTCTGGGAAACCCTCAAGTAAACACTTTCAGACCCAGGGTGGTAACTCTCTTCATGTGCCCGCTCCACTGGTGGAATCCATTCTAAAGCATAGCTTGGGATCATTTTTTGATGGGTCAAACAGCCGACCATTTACCTGAGACAGATTGAAATCAGAGGCGTTAGGTCCATGGATCGGAGTCAGATCTTCCTGCTCTGGAAAAAAGTATGAAAATTGTAACCTTTCTGCTTCATGTGTTTTTGACATGCCACCAACTCCAACATAAACCCAGGAACCCACTTGCTCCGAAATCTTCGGCTCCCGAATGTAGTATAGGAATCATCAAGCCCCACTCCAAGACATTTGACTGGGTCGCTGTTGAGGAACTTAATTTAAGCTACTATATTGGGGGGACCATCGTACTTACTATATACACCCATTCTGGTAACTCAATTTAAGTTCCTCAACAGCAACCCAGTTGAATTGAAGCATGTGGCGCAATGTACTGCAGAAGCCCGGAAGCTCCAAATCTGTGCTGCTTGACACAGCATCTCCGATATATACCCCACAATCCCTATATAACCCTCATATAATCCCTGTAGTTGCCATTTTCTTTTCCATTATCCCAATACCCTAAACCCTAAACCCTAACACCCTAAAACGCTAAACCCTAAACCCTAAAACCCTAAAACCCTAAAACTCTAAACCCTCTCTTTTCTTGCATGTCAAGCTGCCCATGAGGATGAAGTTGCCGGGATGGGGGTCGCCATGGAGGTACCTGGAAACGAGAATAAAGGGACTTTACTGGGAACCCCAAAATAGGGAACCCCAAGAATATAGTGGGAATATCATATCATAGAATAGAAGGACCCTGCCAGGTATACTCCGATTATATTCCTACATATTCCTACTATGTTCTTGGGGTTCCCTATTTGGGGTTCCCAGTAAAGTCCCTTTACAGAAAAAGATGCATACAGAAACCTTCACGCATGGAGAAATCCCCACCTTCCCCCTAGCTAACCTGGAACCTGAAAAAATGGTCCCTTATACCTTGGGAGGACCCCCTACCCTGTAAGTGGTATACTAGGAATATAATTAGGACCCTAATATAATCCTTATTATCCTTTATACTCACTATTACAGGGTGGGGGGTCCACCTAACTTATACCCCCTGGGAGGTGGGCATGTGGGGCTCCACCTCGGTATGGGGAGGGGAAACCACAAACCCAAAAAGCACTTGAAAACTTCAACCCCTGATCCCAGACCCAGACTCAGGACCCCAAAACCTAAATCCATAACTATGCCCTGTATAAATCCATAGAATCCTCAACCCCTAATCCTGCATCAAGGCTCCCGGTCTCCAAGAACTGGACCATGTAGCTGTTCAGCAGGAGCCTATGCTGCATCTGAGCTAAGATCAGACCTGCTGATGACCTGCATGAGCCCTTGAGAGAGCGGAGGATTTGGCATACAGCATATCCATACGACTATAAACCCTAAACCACCAAGCCTTAAACCACCCACCAAACTTGTAGCATCTGGGCTACGCTTCACACCCCCCCCATCCCCAAAAAGATCTCACTGCCATCTTTGGTTCCCTGAGTTCTGATACCCCAAGCGTCAAGGACCCTAAACGAAGGATTCAAGCTACTCCCGTGCCGCGCGTAAATGTGGAACCCCATGCAGGCCTCTTCTAAAAGGGCCGTAGCCGTTGTTGATCAAACTTGTCGGGTTCCATGTTAGTTGGGAGGAGGGTACAACGGGGCTGTCATGCCGGAGGCATTTCCCCACTTCTTGTCCAGAGAAAAATGCCTTGGGGTTGGAGTCTTGGTGATTAAGATTAGCTTGCCAAAGTTGCACAGGGCATACTCCACGCGAGCTTTGTTTCCTATTTCCTTTCCCTTGCACGACCTTCTGCCCCCCGGCATGGCAACCAAGGCGCTTGACCACACGGCCAGCCTGCCAACATGCGAGGGGCTGTCAATGAAAGATGGTCAAAACAAGCCCTAAGCCCTAAACCCTAAATAAACAATGGGCTTATCTGGGTACCCTACGCATCGCCACGCGAAGCTCACTATGTTTTGAAGTATCCCCCTAATCAGAACCCAAAGACCCTGCATCTTACTTACTTGCGGTTAGTAGGGAATAAGGGAACATATTAAACAGGGATTATATGCCTATTCCCTACTAAACCCTAACCCCTAAACCCTAATCTCAAACGGAATACATTGTCTAGGGATTTTCTTGATATTATTCCTATTCCCTCCTAACCACCAGGAAGCATAGTCAATGACCAGTGGTAAGCATGTTCAATGCTAGTTTCCATGTTCTTTTCCATTATCCCTATACAACCCTTACAATATAAGTACCATATTGTCCTTATAACTTATAAGGCCGTATAACCTTCCCGTATTCCCTACTAACCCTAAACTCTAAACCCTAAACTCTAAACCCTCAGCCCCAAACTATTAATCACTGGCAAGCTTAACTGAACTCTGCAAGCCTGATCCGACGCTGCACCTGGCTCTGTTAGCTTCTTTCCATCCAGCCACTCCTTCTGGGTAAGACAGGACATATAGGGTGTTAGGTTCAGGGGTTCAGGGTTCAGGGAATATTGGGCCCTCTTTAAAAAGGTTATAGGGCACTATAGGGTTTAGGACACTAGGATTTTACTCTCAGTTCCCTGAACCCCTGGCAGAAACCATGGTTCAGCTGGTCATTTATGGAGTAAAGATGGCAGAAATTGAAGCAAGATATGTTCAGGGAACTTCCTGCTATCCCATCCCCCTAAACCTTAAACCCCATAGCCCCCCTTACGTAGATAGAATATGGGGCCCAAAGCCATATTCTATCTACTTAAGGGACACCCTAAACCCTAAACCCTAAACCCTAAACCCTTTCCCTGCAGCCAAGGTGTGATTCCTGCCTTGCTCTGCAGTGCCCTGAAGGAATACGCTCGGTTTTTTTTTAACACCCCTTCGCAACTTTTCTGTGCCCGCTCGGGGGGTTTAGGGTTTAGGGTGTTTACTACAGGCCCTTTGCGGCAAACACTTAACACGCACCCCTTTGACAGATCCCAAGCTCGAGCTGGTTCCCTATTATAATATAGTAGTTTCTACTGTATTGATCTTCCATTATCCCAATATAACCCCTATATATTCCCTACTATAATATAGTAGTTTCCACGGTTTCACTGCATGAAGAGCGTATCATACGGATGTGCTTCTATGGTGGTGGGGTTGCATGCGGCGGTCCCTGCTTCTGAAACATAGCCACATGGACAGGGCACGGGCATGTAAGGATTACATCATCTTTGAAGAAGTTATGCTAGGAGCTGTGTTGCGCTGCTAGAGGGATGCAACTGCTGCATCTGTCACTGACTGATACCAAAACCAGCTCCGTTGCTCCTGTTCCTCCTCTCCTTCTTGCATCCCCTGCCTCCTAAGCCGGGTTGCTCAGCTCATGTCATCTACTGTTATGATACATACATGGTAACCTGATTGAAATTCCTGAGCAACCCAATACATTCAGCACTGCCGGTGTCCTGCACAAGCACTTCACCTTGGCGGCAAGAATACATTGTAAAAAACATCGATGGCTCAAGGGCTTGCAACTAGAGAGGGGTTTCCCAAAATCAGGGGTCCCTGTCATAAGGATTGTTCGTCCATATTAAGGTCCTCTTCGGAAACTACCAAAATCATGACTCTAGGGGCTCTGTGGCAAGCATCAGGGGATGCTGCAAGTTGTGGCCAAGAAACGGGCTTTTCAGGGCGCCATGGGTCTTTTGAGTTGGAACTCGACTGATGGACAGCAAAGAACCACTAAACAAACTACATGGTTGAGAAGCGGATGGCTACAGCCAGGGACCTAGAGAAAGCTTTAACATGCGTTTCCTTGGAAATAGAGCTTCGTCAGTGCAGTCTCCTGGCGGCGTTTGCCTGAGGGACCGTGTTTGCTGAAACCTCCATCTAGCAACCTTATTGGTGGTTGGTGGGTAGAAGGGAGTAAGGGATGAAATAACACAGGGATCACGCAGGGATTATATTCCTTTACTCCCTAGCAACCACCAGTAAGCAATTGAGGGTGCTCAGTACAATCATTGAGGATTGGCATGCCGTGCCCGCGTGCTTGGGTCACCTCAAGTTCAGGAGCCAGCACATCTTGTGGGAGTGCAAGAAGCACACTGCACGCCCAAGTCAAACTGCCTCCAGCAAGAACAGCAAGATTGTGGGAATGTAAACATACGGCTTGGGAAAACGCGCGCATCAAGACCCCCTCCAAAGTACTAGCATGAGCCCTACATCACACGGGCAGGTTCTAAAATCCAAGACACACCACTGCACATATTCCTTGAAACCCTCTGCTATTTCAATGGCCACTGTGAACTTTAGGCGAGGTGCGGTTTGCAAAGATGATGTCGGGCACTTCAACAGCATCTCGGATGAGCTCACAATCCTGCATCACTCAGATGGGTGGTTATCAAACTTGACTACCCTGGGGGATCCTGAGACTGTATGCAGGTGACAGAGGGATTCCATATGGATCTGCAAGAGGTACTATTGACGAGCATAAAACCGCAAGAAGGGTCAGCGCAAGAAGGTAGACTTGCGACGGGCGCCATAAACCTTAGAGAAGGGACTCTCACACTGGTCATTCATACAGCTCAGGAGAAATTGCTGGAGCTCATCCCATCGCAATATCTTTCCTGCAGTCTGCTCCCCGGCTATGCAAGAGGGAGCCAAGCCACAGGGCTAACAGCGTGTCTCAACACATAAGGGTTTCCAGAAACTTGGGGTGTCCTTTTTGGGGAGGCCCCCAATAACAAGGATCATAGTTTTGGTGTCTCTCTTGGTGCTTCCTTGTGGACACCTGGACACATGTTTACCCCACTGCAAGCACCGAAATAGTTGAGGCCCCCAGTTCAAGACATCCCCGCATTGCCCAAAATCCTAACTAACCTCACACCCCGCACCCTCAACTAAACCCTATATGAGCTGTAGTACAAAACTCCTAGTATCCCCCTTCATATACCTTCTAGTAGTCCCCTACATCATACCCTACATAAGCCCCCTGCAAGGAATTTAGGCAATAGCTCACATGTCCCTAGAAATCCTAAGCACTCCCAAGTACTAAATCTTGAAACCTCCGTACAACCTCTCCACCAACTTTGGTGCCTTAACCCCCTTTTTTTGGGTAGGTAGGTCCTCGACTGTTTTGGCAAACCGGCGCTGGTTTTCAGCCTCCACCTGCAAAGCAGCAGTTGGGGAGGTCTCTGCAGATATGAGCTAGTCTGAACTCCTTAAAGGGGATGACATAGGGGATTTTATAAAGGGGAATAGTATAGGAGTGTGGACTATAGCTTATATGAGAGCACAAGCTTGGGCATCCTTATCAAGTGTCCGTGTAACAGCTAGAGGTATCACGCTTTTCCTGCAGCATGGAGATTGCAACTAAAGCGGCCTCTTCCCAGAAAAGAGCACACCCTAATGGCAAATCCTGAAGCCAAACTCACGAAACCCCCTGTTTGCTGGTAAAGCCCTACACAGCCCCAAGTCGCCTCGTAGTCCAGCTCCTGGACGAACGTCGGGGCTGTGAGGTCGATCAACTCGACCAGCTGCTTTGACTGGCGAGCAGTGGACCTCAGTGCGTGGGCAGCGAAAGATTACGTGGGGTGTAGGGATCACGGGTTAAGAGGATTAAAGGTTTTTACCACTTGGGGTTAGGGTTTAGCGGTTGGGGTTCAGGGGCGTATTGAGGGCCTTAGGTTTTTTTAGCTTTAAGCACTCCTTCTGTCCTCCAGGCAACAGTCGGAGGTTGGGTTTCAGGGGCTTACGTCTTATGTAGGGGCTTAGGAGGATGTAGGGATATCAAGGCTGCAGGCTACAGTGGATAATCAAACGGAAAAGAGAATGGAAAGTACATGCGAACTGGGGTTAACGACTATATAATGGATTGTAGGGGGCTTCCCATTGTAGAGGGCCGAAACATACACCCCATTGTAGTATAGGCTTCTCATGGTGACCCCACAAAAAACAATTGTCGGAAACCCCCATTGGAAGTGGGAAGTGGGCATGTGAGGTTTGCAGGGACTAGGCCTAGGGTTCAGTAGAGTGTAGGGAGAATAGCGCGTTCTGAATGGAAAAAAGTTCTCATTCCTGGCGTTATGCGCTCGATCTGGTAAAGATGCACTTCGGGCTTCATACAACTTGTACAAACCCTAAACCCTAAGGCCTCTGAGGTATTTGGAGGGCTTTGGGAGGCCTTACTACATTATTACTCTGGAGGCCTGTGCACATAATCGCCTGCTCACCAGACCTAAGCGGTTTAGCGAGGGCCCTGCCCCCACCCATTCAGAGTCTATAATAGGGTTCATATTAATGGCTCTATATACACATACATGTATAGATATTATCCAACTGTTAATGAGTGGGGGCAATATCCAAGGCTTAGAGTTGAAACACCCACATTTTCGCACGAGGCCTTCTTGAGGCACCTGAACTTCAACCAAAAGCTCATCACAACCATTCAATTTGATAAACTCTTGCCCAATCCTTGTTATAAGCAAGTCAAATGGAACCCCATCTTTACCCCCTACACTCCAGTACTGAAAGCCCTGTCTCAACGTTCTTCTAAAACCACTCCGACCCCTAAACCCTAAATCTTAAAGCCCTGAACTCTGATCCCCAAACCCTACAAAACTAAACCCTGAACCCTAAAACCCTGAACCCTAAATCCCTAATCCCTAAGACCCTGAATCCCTAAGCCCTAAATCCTAGACAAACCCAAGCCCCCAGTGAAACCCAAGGGCAGGAATGGCCAAGGAAGGAGAGATCCGATGGAGCCAGCCGTTCGGATGACGTAGAGGTCCTCAACTGTTTAGGGTTTAGGGTTTGGGGTTTAGGATTTGGGGTTTAGGGTTGAGGGTTGAGGGTTTAGGGTTTAGGGTTATAATCTACTTTAGGTGGACCCGATACCGAGTAATAGTGACTATAAGGGATAATAGGGATTATATGAGGGTCCTCCAATATTCTTATTATACCACTATTACAGGGTGGGGGGTCCTCCTAAAATCTACTATAATATAGTAAGATATACTATGGTATACTTAAATCTGCTATCATATAGCGAAATATAATATGGTATACTATAATATTATCTATTATAATATAGTTGATCTCGTAATCCGCTCCCCTAATACTAAAACCCCCAACCCCCTATTTCAAATATTCCCAATATCTAATAACATACCAGATATCTAATAACATACCAGAATGGAAAAACAACATGTTAGGGAGGTGTGGCGTTTGATAATAAAGGAGGGGATGAGACGCGAGGATTTGCGGTTTAGGGATGAGGGTTCGGGGGCTTTGGGAACTAATGTAGACCCAGAATTAATACACCCCCTTCCCTTAATAGGATTAGAATAGGGATCCTAATTTTAAGGCCCTTCAAAGGAGGGTTTACTCAGCAGGGGTCTACATTATGATTTGGGAATTTTGTTTTGAGGGTGCAGGGGTAGAAGCCCACCTGGGTATCTGCAGAGCCGCAAATTTGGCACGTCTCAATTGGCCCCTGTTTGATCTCAAAATCTGACCTCGGCCAATGGTCTCGGGCTTCCATATACCAAGCACAGCACAAGTTGGAGCCCTCCTTCACAGCTGAATTTCTAGTAGATGTGCCGTCTTTCAAATCTACCCCAGATATCCTTTACGAGCCTGGAAACATCCTTATTGTGATCATCTGCGTTTGACTCACAACTACGCATCTTGCTGAAGCCTAAGCCCGGAACCCACGAGCCTACGCCCAAACCCATTCAACAACACTTTGGCCGTGGGTCTAGGGTAGACTGCTCTCGTACGTCCGGTCGCTGTACCTTCACTGCCACGGTCTTCCCATAGAGCTCCGCCTTGTAGACCTCTCAGACAGTCGCAAGAACTAAGGCTGGTATTCCCGGAACAGGGTGAACAAGTGCTCCTAGGAAGGGCCTGCTCATTGCTGGAACTCAAAAACGCTTTGGGACGTCACTGACTGTACATCTTCCAGCCCCAACCTCACCTTTGAATCCCGCCGACTCGTACCAGAAACGCCGAAGCTCTTTTGCAAACAAAATGTAAAACCCTATGCGAAGCTGGGTGCTTCCATCATCCATGTACCTCCGCAACCCTAGCCTCAACCCTTAACGGGACCTCAAAAGTACAGCGATGGCCCAAAAAACGCATACAGGAAACCGAACAGGCCTTTTTCTACATGAATTATTTTGAGGTTCATTCAAGTATTCAACCTTCAACCCTAAACCCTAACATACCCTAACGCTAAAGCCTAAACTCGACAACGCGTTGCCTGACCCACCGACGCTGAAGCGATGGGCTTCTCGAAGACGCTAAGGTCATCGAACCTGAGGCTTGGAGAGTCAGGAGAGCTTAGTAAGGACCATTATAACCCCTAGACACGGAATAACAATACCATTAAAACTGTTGCTATTACCATTCTTTGACTACTATCATTTTTGCTACTACTAGTAATAACACCTAAAACCTAATAACAACCCCAGCTATCTCGACTCTCCAGCTGGGGTATAGAGCTTCACAGGTCTAGGACTTATATAGGAACCTAGCGAGGATTGATCTGGTAACCCGCTTCCACAAATGAGGAGCTTTTGCCTATTATGTGGGACTCCTTAAAGGGGTTATATAGGGGGTCATTTATATGGGACTACTATAGGGGTTATAAAGGGGGGATACTAGGAGTTTAGACAATAGCTCATGTGATTTCTGCAGGTTCCTAGCTGTGGGACCTGGTAAGCTTTGCGTTTTCCTCGTCCCCTGTGATCTAGTGCTTAGCTATCACAAACGTAATGAGCGTTGTCCATGCTTTGGTTGGGGCTTTTTGATACTCAAAAGGCTTCTGATCCAGGGCAATCAGCATGGGCAATCTGCCTGGCGTTTGACCAGGTAGGCATATTACCAAGCACTAGTGAAAAGTAAAAGGCAGCTTGGGATAATGCTTGGTTATAACTTGGTGTGCTTTGCTTGGTTGATTCCCCCCTACCTATGCGGTATAGGCATCGAACGAGGGTACATTCATACAAACCCACCCCAGGCCCGAAACCCGAAACCCGAAAACCTGAACCCTAAAACCCATAATCTATAACCTAAGACCTAAACCCTTTTACACCTGGAGCTGAGGCGGATGCCAGGATGAAGGAAGGCCACAAGACTAAACCCTAAACCCTAAAACCTAAACCCTAAATCCTAAATCCTATAACCTAAAACCTAAACCCCCAAACCCAAACCTTGGCCCATTAGTTTTGCTTCATCACTGCCTTCCTCCCGGAGACCCTGTTGCTAAGACCTGAAGTCAAGAAACTAGACGATTTAGGTTTAGGGTTTAGGGTGTAGACCAGAGCCCTGAAGTGAGCAAGGGTTTGGGGTTTAGGGTGACATAGAGATTGTAGAGGCTTATACGGGGTTATAGGGACTATATGAGGATGATATAGAGCTTCATATGGACTAAAGACCCAAGCCCTTGAGCTAATCCTGGCTTCAAAAAAGTCTTTTTAAGGGATTACGCAGGGATTATAGATGGTTCTAGGAGGGTCATAGGGCTCAGAAATATTACCCCAATAATGGGGAATCAAGCGAAAAAGAAACCAAAAAAACATGGACATGAAATTGAGACAGGGATGATGTAGGGATTTATGTAGGCTTTAGGGATCTAGGCAGGTTTTTCATTAAAAAGAATTGAATGCTATCCAATAATGACTATAGGCGGGTATAAGTTACAACCAGCTTCTACGTGGGCGTGTTCCTGCCATTCGTTATGTTTAGCCTTATAACCCTATAAGACTCAATATAATCCCTATATAACCCTATATAAGATATTTAATCTGCTTCTACCCCATACGATCCCTACATGGCCAAGACCTTGCCCAGCCCCAAGCAAATCCTGTTTGCTACCCGAACATTCCCAGCAGATTTTATAGGGGGTTCAGGGGTGATATAGGGGCTATTTAGGGGTAGAACATCCTCAGCATAGGAATTCTACTGCTTCTCGGGATTTTCGGAAATCACGGCGCCCTGCAGGAAGCTGGGGGATCTGTGGGCTGGGGGTTCCCTTTTCAGCATCTTCTAAGGCTCCAGAAGTGTCCTGAAAGGACTGCTTGGATCTGGCTTTAATGGCCCAGGGTCTTGGTACGATTTATAGACCTTGGGGCCCAGTGTAGGCATTGTTTAGAGACATGTTAACAGTTGAGATTACAAGTCTCCCTGCGTCCGGGTCGCAAGTCAATGGCCGCCTTGCCACCCTGCTCAACAAGGGGTTCCGATCTCAAACTCTGACGGGAACATGAGCGTACGCTGCCGTTACCCTAGGGACCCAAAAAATTGAAAGCAGGTATATACGACTGACAGACTTCAGTGCCCAAAGTGGGCCCAAAGTGGGTGTTCTCATTTTTGGAAGCCACCATATCACCCTAAAAACACTAACCTAAAATTGAAGCCGCTGAGCCCCCAAAAACCCTTATCCAATCCCTACATGTTCCGACCCCTACATACCTAGAAACCCCAAAGCCCGGAAACCCTCAACCCCAAAACCCCAAAGCCCCAAAGCCCAAAATCCAAAACCCTGAACCTCAAAGCCCCCAAAACCCCCCTCCTCGCCGCGCTTCAGCGTTTCCAATGCGAGGTCGCGGCCGAAGGGCCGCACCTGACGTCCCTTTTTTAAAGGATATATAGGGATTATATAGGGTTTAGGGATTAGGGCCATAGGATTTCCCAAAATGAGGATAGAGGAATTATATACGAGGATTTTACAGGGGTATGTAAGGTTTAGGGCTTCCTATTAACTAGGGGTACCTCAAAGGGTTTATAGGGGATATATAGGGTGATATAGAAACATATAAGGGTTGGGGTCAAGGTTTCCCAAAAACAAGGATCCCTTTATAGGGGTCCCTATAGTAAGGATTATAGTATATTGGAGGTCTGTATTGGCCCCGTAAGCTCGGAAAGGGTTTACAGGGTGTATAGCGTTTAGAGGGTTTATGGGATGTGTAGGGCTTGTAGGACTTGTAAGGATTGTAAGGCTTCTAGGTTTTATAGGACTTGGACACGAAATCGCAACGACTTTGTTCGTTTTGGTTTACATGTCTTCGAGGTCATGGAAAAGAACATGAAAAGGACTGTACAGTTAATGGCCTAGGATGTAGAGCTTCCGGTTTAGGATTTCATTTTTTTGCCACTTTCACGGCCACACTTGGGCTTGAGGGGCGGGTTTCGGCTTGGGACTATGAAGTCAAAGCTTTGTCTTGAGGATGCCAGCATGTATTAGGGGGAAGTTTCATTAGTAGAGGGCAGGGGGGCACAGGCAGGGATGGTGTGGTTCATCAGCAGTTCATCCGGTAAGCAATAAATCCTGTAGGAGCCTTAGTACCCCTGCCCCCAATAATGGAGAATCAAATGGAAAAGTGGAAAATGAAATGGAAACTGGGATTATATAGGGTTTATGTGAGCTATTAGGAATTAAGATACTATAGTATCTAAGGTCATGGAGGGTTGTCGGTATCAACAGTCCCTCTAGCATCGCGCCTGTTCCAAGAGCTTTTCGTACTCCTTCAAGTACCTGCAGCACACTTACCAGCATGATCTCACATGGGTATCTCGAGAAACGGGTCCATCACCAAACATCGGCCCATATAAACTCTAGTACAAACTCCTAGTATACCCCTTAAAAGCCCTAGAATAGAATACTCCTCCATATAACCCCTTCTAAGGAGTTGAGACTCATATCAGCAGCATGCACCCTCAGTTGTTGGCTTGTGTGCAGAAACTATACTACACTAGACAAGTTCCTTGTGGCCCTACGTATATACAGGGATCATGCGGAGTTCATGGGGATCCTTGTTTGAGACTGCAAGGGGATGATTTTCAACAAATCCCACCCTAAACCCTCTACCCTAAACCCTATAGTACCCTAAACCCTAAACCCTATGCCCTAAACCCTAAACCCTAAGCCCTATAGCACCCTAAACCCTACACCCTATACCCCAAACCCTAGGCCCTAAACCCTACACCCTGAGCCCTAACCTCCCTAGAAGCATCATCATCTGAATCAAGGTCTAAGCACCTAGTATCACCCTTAATAAACCCCCTATAGTAGTCCCCTATATGGGGGATTCCCAAAATTAGGGGTACCCTTTTGGGGGTACCCATAATAAGGACTATAGTATTTTGGGGTCTATATTGGGGTCCCTTTAGTTTGGGAAACTACCATATAATCTCCTGTATAACCCCCTTTTAAGGGAGGTTAGGCAAAAGCTCATTTCATCAAAGTGGCTCCTTTGGCAAAATATCAGGACGGGAAGCCCAAACCTGCAGGGAGACGGGTTTAGAGTGTAGTCTTTAAGGTTTACAAGCAGTCACATTGCATTCGGGCTTTCATATATATATATATACATGTATATAGATATATTTATGTGCTCCAATTATTAGTACTATTATTCTTACTGCTATGATTATTTTTGCTACCAGGTTACTAGACAAAAAAAAGCTCGTCGCCCAGGATCGCAGAGGCATAGTGTTGATACTGCAAGTCCAACATGGCCTTGTTCTACTATAGTACCATAATAAGGGATCTCCATAAATAGGGGGCCCAGATGTAGAACTCCCCGATTCTATGACGCTCTCCATAAGGGCCCTGTAAAAGGTATCCCAACTTTTGGGAAATCTCCATCCCACTCAGGCCAACAGCTTGCAGGAATTCGAAGAACTGTCAAGGCCACCCAAGAGATCCACAGGGCCTATGTTGCAGGTCAGGGCTATAGTTCCTCTTAAGTAGATAGAATATGGCTTTGGGTATTTTACAATAAGATCCCCATATACCCCATAGTCTATCTACTTAAGAGGGACTATAGGGTCAGGGGTCGGCTGGCTGGCAGGGCGGGGACGAAATTCCCAGCCTGAGCAATCTTGATGAACGTCACGCCCAAGTCCTTCCACGTGCTTTTCGTCCACATTCCACATCAAATTTAGCTAGAAGGGTTCAATACCACACGATAAGACACATGGCGACTGTTAGAGACCACAAGAAAGCAATCACGACCATGGGGAATTCTGCACTCTGCAGCATTTTGTGTTCGAGCTGCTTGTTTGCATGAAAGCAGACGTTCAAAATTCTTAAGAACCCTCCGCCTTGAGAAATCCCCATGTCGATTCTTCAATTGCAGCCATTGTGAGCTTCCAAACGGCTTTGTAAACGGTAAATTTGCGCAAGGAATATTGCTAGTGACTGTCCTGGTTGTGAAGCCGGAACTACACTAGAAGGCCTTACATCCCAAACTCTACAGCGCCTGAAGCCCTAAACCCCTTCCACCTAAGCCTAAGCCCCCTTAACGCTTGCAACCTTGGACTAAACTCCATTAAGCCTAAACCCCTAACCCCTAAACCCTAAAGCCGTAAACCCTTAAGCTCTAAAGCTTCAATCCTAAAGCCCTAAACCCTAAAGCCCTAAAGCCTCAACCCAAAACCCCTAAACCCTATAGCCCTAAACCCTAAAGCCCTAAAGCCTCAATCCTAAAGCCCTAAACCCTAAAGCCCTAAACCCGATAGCCCTAAACACCCTAAACCCTAAAGCCCTAAACCCTGAAGCCTCAATCCTAAACCCCTAAACCCTAAAGCCCTAAAGCCTCAACCCTAAAGCCATAAACCCTAAACCCCTGAACCCTAAACCCTGAACCCTAAAGCCCTAAAGCCTCAAGCCTAAAGCCATAAACCCTAAGCCCCTAAACCCTATAGCCCTAAACCCTATAGCCCTAAACCCTGAACCCCTAAACCCTATAGCCCTAAACCCTATAGCCCTAAACCCTGAACCCTAAAGCCCTAAAGCCTCAATCCTAAAGCCATAAACCCTAAACCCGATAGCCCTAAACCCTAAAGCCCTAAAGCCTCAAGCCTAAAGCCATAAACCCTAAACCCCTAAACCCTATAGCCCTAAACCCTGAACCCTAGAGCCCTAAAGCCTCAATCCTAAAGCCCTAAACCCTAAAGCCCTAAACCCTAAACCCGATAGCCCTGAACCCTAAAGCCCTAAACCCGATAGCCCTTAGCCCGATAGCCCTAAACCCTAAACCCTAAAGCCCTAAAGCCTTCAATCCTAAAGCCCTAAACCCTAAACCCTAAATCCTAAACCCCTAAACCCTAAAGCCCTAAAGCCTCAACCCTAAAGCCCTAACCCCTAAACCCTATGGCCGTAAACCCTCAACCCTAAAGCCCGAACCCCTTGAACCTTAAACCCTGCGAGTCCCCATGCGGCCGGGGGTCCGTGATCAGCTCCCGGGCCTCTACTGCCCGCTGCGGTCTCATCTTGTCCTCCGCGCCGGTCCACTCCTCGGTGCACATACTGATATGGCCCATTGGGGTGATAAGTATTAGGGTTATATTGGGGTTATATGAGGATAATGGAAAAGAAAATGGAAACTACTATTATGAGTTATATGGGTGGTTGTCAAAATTATGGTCCTTTTCTGGATTCCTGTTATAATACGGCACCTAATATTTAGAGTACCCAACAAGGGACCATAATTTTAACAACCACCCATATGTAAGGCTATATAGGGATTGTATAGGGTCATATGACAATTATGTAGGGGTTCTACTATGGGGATTATATAGGGGTTATGAGAAGGTTTCCCTGAGGATTAAAAGAGCTTAGGGAATGTTACTCCAATGAGCAAGGAATGTAGGAATGGAAAAGACCACAGGATGCACCATAGAGTTTAATGTTCAGGGAGCTAGGAATGAAACAATGAAAATCAAGTAGGCTCTGCTAGAACCTGCTAGATTATTGGAGGTTGTATGGGGGCTAGAAAGGAAATCCATTCCTCCAGTCCCTTCTACTGAGCAACAATTACGTAATTTGGCCTAGAGTTTCGGGCTTTGGGGCTTAGCTTTGGGCGCTTCAAATGCCAAACCTACCCAGTGCTGAAAAGGACTGCTTGGCCAGAATCCAGCGTTTAGCATAAGAGGATCCTCAAAAAGGCCGACGATGTTGGACAAGCAACTATGTTCCGCATCTGCCCTGTTGGCATTACTAAATGAAGGATTCCTCCCGTCTACAAGTCCTTATGCGAGATGAGTACCCCCTATTATCAAGTAAGGGTACCGGAGAACACATGAGGAGAGGGCAGGGCGATTCTTTGTGAAAAGTCTTGGCATAACAGGTGCGCAAATCTATGTACTACTACTCCCAAGCCTAGGGAAATGGTCTGCTGGGTTTCTGAGACTCTACACGGGTTCAAAAAATCTGGTCATATAAGCAAGCGCATGGGGAATGTTGCGTGTGGCAAATGTTTATTTGCAGATTTTGCACCCATTGGTAGAACTGGAAGGCTTCCAGGGCGGACAACTATGGCCGCTCTTGTTGCTGCATGCAGCGCGCCTAGTTCCAACAACACAATGCAGCGCAAGCCGGAATGGCCAAAAGCAACCTTGTCTTAAGTTTGAATGAGTTACGGAGAAAATTACGAGATCGAGGCATGCTGCAGAGAGCGGTGCGCATATGTCTCAATGGACAGCATGGGTGTCCTGGTACATCCCCGTAGTTGAAACCCTCATTCTGGCCAATCGTGGTCAATCCAACTTAACCTAGATGATCCCCAGACAGAGCCTTGAGAAACTTCTATGCCCCCCTCTTAAGCCCACTCGTTGAGCCCAAGCGCGTCCACCTTCAAGGAAAAGAGGAAGCTGCCGACCTTAATTCCTGCCTCCACGAAGCGCGTGAGAAGCTTGAATGGCCTGCGCCGCATCCAGTGTCGGGCATTTCGAAAAACAGGTTCCTTTCAGGAAAAAATCCTAACAATGAACCGGTCACATAATTGAAGGAAAACAATTTGGGGGCACCGGACTTGATCTTGCATCGGCCCCGCAATCGGCGAAACTAACCCTTTTGCTAGGCCGCTTTGGTTCCACCTTACTGTTATGGGCAAAGGGCACAATCGCAAAATCATAAAGCTATCAACCCCATTCATTACCGATGCCACTGACGCCACCATTCCTTTCTGGTTGAACAGCATAGCACCTTTGGCATGCCTCACTGAAACACAAGACCACAACCAAGGCCTTCCTTTGGGGCTTCCATCATTAAAAGGGGATCCCCAAACATAGCCCTCTATGAACAAATCTTTGATTGCAGGGGCCCTTACAAAAGGATCCTTAAATTTTGAGACACCAAATTATGGCCATGTGAACAGGAACCTGCGCTGCCAGTACGCGGTGATGCGGCCATAGTCATAGTCTCGAGGCAACTCCTGCGCAGCATCGGGGGCCCTTTGAATGGAAGTGCATGCAGGCTGTTACTGTACATCGATACGCACCACCAAGTGCACCCCAACATAAGTGATATGGCTTGTTACAGTGCTTCAGATCTACAGAATGAATCAATGCATGCCACTCCACTAGTAGTACTCCTCCTCCTGCTCGTTGCTCCTATGCGTACTCTGACCCCTACTCCTCCTCTCAACATCTCGTTCCTGATGCATAGGCCCTAAAACCCTGAACACGATGAACCTCATGAACCGTATAAACCCTATGAACTTATAAGCCCTACACACCCCATGAACCCTACGGCCCTACGAACCCTATCAACCCTTCCAAGCGTGTCCTCCAGCCAGGGTTGCGGGCCCCGTCGCAGGGCCAAGAGCCACACCACGGCTGCACCGACACCCGCTGGCAGCATGGCAGGCTCCAGCACCTCTTCTTACTGGTGTTGGTTACTACGGAAAGCGGAGAGACAGAAAGAGACAGAGAGAGAGAGAGAGAGAGATATATATATATATACGTAATACAGAGAGCGAGCGAGAGAGAGAGAGAGAGAGAGAGAGAAGCTTTAAGGCTTGGAGGTACTAGACAGAAGGGATCACAGAATCCCTACATAGCCCTTGTGTGATATGCTTTCAATCCACCAGTAACTCTTTTGAAAAGAACCCAATATTGTTCCGCCCATCCGATTTAGAGGGACTGTTTGAGCATGCCTTCTGCCAACAATGAAGAACGTGAACAAAAAAATTCTAAATCTAAAGGCATCTCTGCACCCAGGCGATCACATCCCATAAATGCACCCCAAAACCTGAATCAAGCACCTGGGGATGCAGCAGGACTTTGGCAATGTCTGGGGGCAAGTGGGTTGCCAGCTTGCTGACGTCAGTGGCCAAATTGGGCGCCGCTGCCTCCACTTTTGCTGCCAGCTGCTTGGCGGCCGCTGTCAGCTCTGGGGGAATCGGTGGGAGCGTGACTTTGGGAAGTGCCGGAAGCGTTACTTTCGGCAACGCCTTCTCCGCAGAACGCAAGAAATCAGAGGCTGCGTGGCTGATTTGTTGAGCCTTACGGTCCCCAAATAACAGAAAATGTTCAAACCCGACGCTTACGAGAAGAAAAGCAGACCAAACGCCTCACACGAAACAACGTAAAGGACCAGGGACTTCTTTGGATAGCTCCTTTGACAAAGCAGGTCCAGCGACGTTCTCAATCTCCTTTTCCAAATCCGTGGGGTCCGGCAAATCTACCTGAGGCAGCAGGTTCTGTGCGGATTGTAATGGGTGGAATGTTGTTTTGGCATTTTATGGTTTGTGACTTTTTTTTTCCGGCTGGGGGCTTGGAATCGAAGGACGCCCCACACGAGAGCGCGATTCTGAAGCCATGCTGTGAAGTCTGATCAAAAATCATTAAAATCATGAAGGATAACGATGCAAAAGTGATGAACATGATGGAAAATTATATGAAAATTGTGGGGGAAGATTGTGGAGATTATGAAAATTGTGCAGAGATGTGGAAAATCATGAACATGATAGTACAATCACAATCCTGAGAATTATGATAGATATTAGGAAATGATGGAAATATGAAGAGCAATGAACAAATGAAAAATGATAGGAAAATGGCAGAACATGATGAAAAATTATGAAAATGACCAAAACAACGAAAATGATGAAGGCTGCTTTCAAAATGATAGAAAATGATGGAAAATATGAAAAATTATGAGAAATGACGAACAATGATGACAAATGATGAAGCATAATCAAAAAATAATGAAACTGATAGCAAGAGTGTCAAAATAATGAAAAAATCAAAGTTCATGAAGAATCACGAAACAAGTGAAAATCATGCAAAATGATGAGGATGAAAATGATGGAAAACGTCGAAAAAACGATGAACAATATGAAGCCTGATGTTGAAAAATGATGGGAAATATGAAAACCATAAAAATTATGAGGACATGAGTGTTGTTTCACTTTGTAGTTACTGACCGCAAGACGGTTCTTTCTGAGGCATGGATAGCATTATAAAAACAAAAACAAAAAAAAAAGTGGAGCGGTTCGGGAAGGGGGCCAGCCCATGCCAGCCCCCACCCCTATATTTGCAAACAAAAAGATCTACATCATGGAAAGTAATGGCAAACATGGATGGCCATAACAAACAAAATGCTTTGCATAACCCCTCCTTACTGATCATCATCAACAACAACAACTACTACTACGACATACTACTACCACTACCACTTCTTTTTCTTCTACTTCAGGAGGGTACAGAAAATGAGAAACCACAGTGAGAAAACGTAAAGAAACAAGAAAGCCAAGAAGCCAAAAGTCAAGTAAGTGATGAAAATGATTGAAACTATAAAAAAAATCCTCCCAAAATAGGCACTCTATTGAAAATCCTCACGCCTGAGGTTGTTGTGTCAACGAATAATTGAAGTTGGGCAGGCCTCTACAAAATTCGTCGCTATGTCGAACCCCCCGGCTAACAAACTGTTCGCCCCTCCAGCAACTTGACGCGGCAATGTCATGCTGGGGGCAAACATAAGACATTGCATATCCCATAGCAGGAAGGACCGCAAAATGCAATACCCAATCGCATCATGCAAACATGCTACATGGACATGAATTGCCCTTGTCCGACCCTACCTGTAACTTTTCATCCGAATCAGTTGCCATGTTTATGACTCTACAACATTACCAGTCTTGGGCCGGACATGCATTGATTGTCTACGTCCCCGAGTTGCGCCGCTGTACGGGACGGATGGCGAAATCCCAACCTACCGATACCTATTACATATGTGAATACGGAATCCTTGCCCAACCATGCCAAAGCCACTCGGACTTTGTACACTTGACGTCGGACAGCGGAACGCTTCTGAGCGCGTTTGGTACCACGAACTGCTGCTGCACCACAGGCCGCAGCACACGCCAAGGCTGACCTGAGTGTGGGCCATGCTTTGTCGCGAAAATCCTGGCCAAGCTTCAATGGCACACAGTTCTGAAAAATGAAATATTTGCTTAATTTTCCGCACCAATGAGGGACCATTTGTGGCTGTTCTGGCCGCCCTCTTCTGTCTTGGGCTGGACGTGCATGCGCGTGGGCTCCCGTGGGGCCTGCAAGCCTTTGACGTCATTGACGGCGGATTGTGGGCGCAAGATCGAAAATGACTGATCAGCGTCCATCCTGCTTGGGTGCCAAACCCGGAAAACGGTGCGCCGCCAGCCTGCAGCGAACGCAGCAAGGTCAAGAAAATCTACGACAACAGGGTTCTTGGGGACCCAACTTTGGCAAGTACCAGCAATTCGTGCCTTGGTCGTGCGCCAAGATCTCTTGAAGCAACGGCTGGAAAGCTCAGCTTGAACCAGCGTGTTGGCTGCGTACCAAATATGTTCAAACAATGCAGCAACGAACTCCGCATTTACACCTGCAAACTACCTACCGATGCGTGACCACTACTTCCGGCATTTTGCGGCAATGCATGGCAAAAAATGTGCAGACCAGCTCAATGAACGTGCCTCCCCCATGTTGTCCTCGCCAACCTTGGCCATGCATGTGTGCAGCTGTGAAACAAGGAATGGACAATACCAGGGTGCTTCGCAACATGATTGGTCCCTTGGTCTCATTGATTTGGCTTTCGTATGCGCTCGTCTCCAACTTGCATGATGTACTGTGGGCATCCGGGTGTCTGATCAGGCACCAACCAAACCCGAGCCCTGCCAGCCAAAAATCTACTGTATTGTTGCAGAATGAGGCCGCCACAAATGTTGCAATGCCAACGTCGCGATGCTGATGTCTATGCACACTATTTGGCACAAGGGACAAAACTACACAAATTGGGGCAAAAAGAACTGCATTGGACAATGATTGGTGCCGGTTACATAACATAATTGGAAGGATGCTTCGCGGACCATTGCCTGACCATTGAGCAGCTGCAAAAATGCTACGACCGGATCCAGGCGCATACAGGCATACGGGGCGCTCGCCTACGTGGGAAAATGCCAGCTGTTGCTGGCTACACAAAATACCGCTTCTAAAGTTTCCACAATGATTCCTCACACACACACACCACGGGGATTCTTTCTCTAAGCATGCTGCTGGCATCCGCTGATTATAAAGAGTGCGACGCTGGGGTTGCAGCGCTGGTGGTAATGGGAAGGGTAATCGCGGTATATGGTGGTACGTGGTAGCAGTAGTGGTAGTAGTAGTAGTAGTAGTACTAATAGTGGTAGTAGTAGTAGTACTAATAGTGGTAGTAGTAGTAGTACTAGTAGTAGTAGTGGTAGTAGTAGTAGTAGTAGTAGTGGTAGTAGTAGTAGTAGTAGGAATAGTAGGGTAGTAGTAGTAGTAGTAGTAGTCATAGTAATAGCAGCAGCAGCAGCAGCAGCAGTAGTAGTAGTAGTAGTAGTGGTGGTGGTGGTGGTCGTCGTCGTCGTAGTGGTAGTAGTAGTAGTAGTAATAGTAGTGGTCGTAGTAGTAGTAGT